TGGCCCAAGGGAACCAACTAGTACTTGTAAAAGTTCCTTGTCGTGGAAAAGTTCCTTGGCATGGCAACTGTTTTATGCTGCATACATGAGTCTCTATAAGAAAAAAAAATTGCCTTAGTGAGGCCCTGTCCTATGTCATATGCATTTCTTTCAGTTGTTCTTTCTTCCTACCCATCCTTTAGAGGGCTTGGTTGTTGAATGCCTTTCTAGTTATCCGGCTTTATCACTTTCTCTCAAGGCTTCTCCACCTGACATCTGAATGTAAAGGTTTTGTCTTGGGGCATTCTTTCTCAAAGCCCCAGGCAAAACCTACCATATGTTGGCATAAACCCCTCTAGTGTATCCTGGCCTCAGACCTTAACCTTGGCACCTTAACATCATTTCCCCAGAGATGGCTAGGGAACTGAGCTTTATCAGCTATAGCAGAATTATGAGCTGCCTGTTCATTTTCTAGGCCCTGTCCAGAGGAGATGCTTTGCTCTGATATTTTATCAAAAGAAAGAAAATTTTCTGAGAAACAGTTTCCTCAGTAATAAAGTGAACCTGAACTACTGCCTTACAGGGTTATTACGAGTAAAGTGCTTCATAAAACTTAAAGCATTTTATACTGTGAGGGATTTTTAACAATGGCCAATTGAGAATAAGTACAAGGTTATGATCATGGCCCATGTGTTAAAATCGTGGTTGGGCTCCAAGATCTGATGCTTATCATTTGCATAAATTATGAATCCCATCAGTCCGTAGCTCATGTCAGCCACTTCATGGTTCATAGACACAGGTCACTTCTTTGTAAAGCCATCTAGACATATGACAAGGATCACAACAACCCTGGACATTCAAAGTCGAGTCTATATTTCTTATCAATCTCCCCATTTCCTTATTAATTTTCTTATATTCTGCCTCTGACTAGTGCCTACGCCAATACCTGTTGGCTGCTAAGGACTCAGAATAAGTTAAGTTCCAATTCATTCCAAAATCACTTATTTGGTGTCTACTGCATACAAGGTACTATGCTGAGTGCACATAAGAACAAAGGCAAAGATGAAATATTTTCTGCCTTAAGAGAATTCATGTTATATTGGTGGGGGGGGGGGGGATACAGCATGTATAAATAGTAAAGTAGAATGACATTTAGGGTGGGAGAAGGTGCTGCAAACTAGAATAGGGGATGAGAATAAGGAGTTCTCATTTGAAGATGAGTCTTGATCAGTGCTAGACTCTAAGAAGTGGGGTAATAAGGCTTGGACATTAGCCAGTGCCAAGGCATGTTGAGAGTAGATGGAATGTCAAGTCCAGAATATCATTCCTTCCCCTCCTGTCACCCCTATTCTTCTCACTCTTCCCCTTTAACTCCCTTTCCCCTCTCTTCCTTTTCCTTTTCATTCTCTTTTTTTCTTCCATGGGTGCAATGGTCCAACAGGAAAAAGCCTGGTTCTGGAGTCAGAGGACCTGAATTCAAATCCTGCCTATGATGTTTACTATCTGTTTGACCTTTGGGAAAAAAAATTGTCTCCCTGGGCTTCAGTATCCTCATGTAAAATTGCACTGGTTGCCACTAAGGTCCCTTTTAGCTCTATAGTTACAATCCTATGATTATTTTCTTGTACAAGGGTACTCCCTTTGTACCCCTTTCATGTCCTTCCCCTTCTTATCACCTCTGCCTTCTCTTTTCCTCTTCTTCCCTTCCTTTTCTATTTTCACAATTTTAGGTCTGAAACATTCAACATTAATTGCTTCTATCTAGGATTCTTCTTGCAGAATCTGCAGCTACGAGACATAGAAATGAAGGGGATAAGATGCACTTTAGAAGGTGGAAGGCTGGGGAAGGAGCAATTCTGAGGCTCCAGACGATAATGCCAGGACTAAGTTGAAATTTTTGATGATGTAACAGCATCCAGCACACTCTTTGTAGTCTTAGTAGGGGACTGTGCTAGTTTATAACTTTCCAGGAGGACGTAGTTCTGTGCTGAATGTCCATGAAGTAGATAGGAGAAGGCATATTCCTCCCCTCAGTCCCAGAACGAAAATAAAACAAAACAAAGTGGGAAAAGGCCCCCAAAGGCCATCTCATCCAACTCACGTCCAAGAAGGACCCCGCCCTCAATTCCTTCCTAGATTTGGCCAAAAGACTTGTAGTGAGGAAGGGGAGAGGGGAGGAAGCTATTCTTCCTGAGGCACATTTTAGACTCGTTTAAATTTTAGATATTTCTGTGATGGGTATGCTGTATTTTTTTTTTCTGATAGTGAATCTAAATCTCTCTCAGCCACAGCCATTCATTGCTCTAGTTTGGCCTCATGGGGCCGGGCAGAACAAGAGCAATCCATCTTCCATATGATACCTTTAAAATACTTGAAAGCAGCTATTATATGCCCTTCAAGTCTCCTCTTCTCCACTGTAATAATCTGTAGTCCCTTAACTAAACTTCATGTAGAATGATAGCATGTTGCTTAAATATCTCTCTGCTGATTACTTATCTGTGTGACTGACCTTTGTCAACTCAAGTGGCATTCCGGCCTTCTGTTTGCTTATGTGTAAAAAGAGTTGGACTAAGTCCAACTCTAAGATCCCTTCTAGTTCAAGATCCTGAGACCTAGATGAGAGATGATCTGAGCAAACCATTCCATTAGATTTCATTCATCGCCTCCTACTTGGGAATAAAGAATATTTTTGGTAATATGCCCTCTAAATATGAACAAGGCAGCTAGGTGACACTGTGGATAGACCACTGGGCTTGGAATCAGGAGAACTCATCTTCATGAGTTCAAATCTGGCCTCAGACACTTAACTAACTGTGTGACCCTGGGCAAGTCAATTAAACCTGGTTGCCTCAGTTTTTGTAAAATGACCCAGAAAAGGAAATGACAAACCACTCGGTATTTTTGCTGAGAAAACCCCAAAATGGGGTCATGAAGAGTTGGACACAACTGAAATAACTGAACAACAACAAAAACATAAATAAGATTCCCTGAGAATTATATGAAGACAATGTTGCTTAGTGGATAGAGGGTTGGATTTGGAGTTAAGAAGGCCTGGCCTTAAATCCTCCTCTAACTTATTATCTGTATGGCCATAGAGAAAGAATTTAACCTTTCTTAGCCTCAGTTTCCTCATTTAGAGAGGGAGGATAATACATTTACTAAGTAAGATAGTGTGGTATAGTTTAAAGAATCTGGACTTAAAGGACTTGGGTTCAAATCATTCCTCTGACCTTGTGTGTCTTTGGGCAAATTACTTAACCTCTCCAGGTCCTCCATTTCTTCATCAATAAAGCAAAGGGCTTGGATTAGATTTTGCTGAGGTCCCTTTCATATCTGTCTCTTTGACTCTATCATCTTACTTTAGGGCATCATGAGATTCCAATAAGATTATGTATGCAAAACATTCTTTAAACTTTAAAATGTTACATAAATGTCAATTATTATTTCAATGCCTTGCACATAGTAAGAACTTAAACGGCATTGCTGTATTATTGAAATGTATTGCTAGACTTGACCATATTTTTTTGAATATGAGAAAGACAGGTTCTTTCTTTCCATCAAAGATCCAGGTCCCAAGGTGCTGCAAAATGCCGTACTTTAGTACGTGTACAGGCATGTCATTCCTTCTGTTATTTCTCTATATATTATCCTCTTTCTGTTCCACGAATGAACGCTCCATCTCTTGACTCCAGCCATTTTCTCTGGCTGTCCCCCATATCTAGAATGTTTTCCTTCCTTCCTCATCTCTGCCTCCTGGCTTCCTTTATGTTCTAATTAAAATCAAGCCTTCTATAGGGAACCATCCCTGTTTATCCTGTATATGTCTCCTTTTTTTGTACACAGTTGTTTGCATGTCATCTTTCCCATTAGAGTGTGAGCTCCTTGACAGCAGGGACTATCTTTTGCCTCTTTTTGTAACCCCAGCTCTTGGTACGGTACCCAGTAAGTGCTTAATAAATGCTTATTGACTCACTCTACACATCTGTCAAATTATTTTCTAAAGAAAAGGTATGATTATACTTCTTCTTTACCCTAGAAGCTTCAATGACAGTCCATTCCTTTTAGGATTAAACATAAACTTCTCTGCCCAACTTGTAAAGCCATTTATAATCTGGCTCCAAGCTACATTCAGGTTGATTTACACATTACTTCCTCTAACATAGTCTAAAGTTAGATCAAATTAGCCTATTTCCTTCTCCACCCCATTGCCCCTCCCACCTCCTTGCCTTTACATAGGCTGTCTCCAAGTCTGGGAATGCTTTCCCTTCTCACCTCTGTCTCTTGGAATCCTTAAACTCCCTTCAAGGCTCAGCGAAAGTGCTATCTCTTACAAGAGGCCTTCCCTCATCTTCCCAATCATTATTGCTATACCTCCTACTGTATAATATACCCTCCACTCCCACCCGGAAGGATATAAGTAGACATCATTTTCATTTTTGTCTTTGTATACCCAGCATTGGCACCTCCCTCTTAATAAATAAATAGATGTTGATCTCATTGTGTTGAATTTCTTTTTATCCAGGCTTGAAATGAACTGATGGAGATTATAGTTTATAAGGTTCATAAAAGAGTGTGTGGAAACTGTGTGGGTCTTTGTACTCATCTGGAAGACGGTACACATATATACTTTCCACTCTTTCCCCATGGACCCCTCCCCATCTCTTTTCTATATAATACTTATGATTTCTTTTCTATCAATCTAAATCATCCTTGCTCTTTAAGAAAGCTGGGAGGTGATTTCCCCTGCAGATGTCACTTTCCCAGGGACCTCAGGTGAGGGAGGTGAACCTCATTATAAAGGCTCTGTTTACAGAGGAGAAGGAAAGGGAAAGTGGAGGAGAAATGAAGAGGCAGCTTCATAGGTCTAGAAAGTGAACAGCACCCAAAGGTGGACTGATTAATGATTAAACACAGAGGCTGAACTGACACCAGATGAAGACAGTTGGAAAACAGTGCCTGGTTTTTTTTTTCTTTTTCAAAGATACCTAGAAAATAAAAGTGTGTCTGTTCTTACCCCCCAGGTCCGTACCAGTGTCCTGCCTGAGAACAAGGAGCCACGGTCAGATGTTGGTGTAAGTATTTCTAAGCCCTCCCAGGGTACACAGACATTCCCAACCTAATTGTTCCCATCTTCTCTGGCTCTATGCATAGGGGCTGACAAATGTGATGGAGTTCAATTAACAGGGTGGGAGCTGGCACAGTGATTCCTGAATTGTGCTGAATTCATGTCTTGTCTCTTGGAAATCCATCTCCAAGTGAGTGCTCACAGAAGCTGGTCCAGCTGGCCAGGAGTAGTCCCATAAATTACCCTGCAGGCAACCCACACTTGCTTCCTAGGCCAGATTCCTGCAACAGTCGGGGTCTGGTGAGATTGCAGATGTGGACTGGGGTGACTGATCATTTCCTCTGCCTGCTGCTTAATCACTGGTATGGAGAGTCAGGAGATGGACAGTTCTGGCCTCGCCCCCTGGCATGCTTCTACTGTATCAGAGCTAACACATATACTGTACTGCCAAGAAAAAGGAGCCTTCTGGTCTGGGGAGAGAAAATCATAACCCCAGAAACATGGTTAAAAAGAGGCTCCCCCAGAGATCAGATTCCATCCCTGCCTCAATTTACTACACACAGACCCCTTTTCCTTTCCCTCTCTTTTGTTCCAGCCAAACTGATCTACTCTTCCCCCTAAACATATATCCCCTACCCTTTTCTTTACTTATCCGATGGTTGGAATGCCCTCCTACCTCCCTCAAAGCTTGTCATGAGCTGGCTCCAACTTGTCTGAGGCTGGTTGTAGTTTACTATTACACACTCTGCCTTCCACCCAGTTCTTCTGTTTGCTATTGACATCTGTCACCTCTGCTTTGCATAGCCTGTCCTTGAAAAGTAGAATTCTCTACCTCCCACTTCCAACTCATAGAAACCCTAGCTCCCTTCCAGGCTCGGCTTAGGTGACACCTTTTCCATAAAGCCTTTCTGGATCACCCTCTGCCTGAATTGTTAGTACTCCTTTCTCCATCCCTAATTTCTTTCTATGTTTTTGTATACATGTCGATTTATTATGCATATCTTTTATATAAACATATCCTCCAGGACCATTTAAGTTCTTTGAGGGCATTTTTCTCTTATATTCCTAGTGTCTATTAATGCTGCCTCGGACTACAAGGACTCAATATGAATCACGAGTGTGTCTTGGCAACAGCAACAAAAAAAGTAGAGATCTAGAATGAATGAGGAAAGTGATAGCTCCGTTGCTCTCCTCTGGTCAAACTAGGTCTGGGTGTTCTTCTATTCTAGAAAGAATATTGCCAAACTGGATCCTGTCCAGAGTGACTTCCATGACAGTGAGAAGTGAGGGATCTATAGACAATGCTGTATGAGGAACATGGAAAGTTGGAAAGTTTCATTTAGAGATGAAAAGATTTGAAGAATCGAGTCACGATACTTGTCTTCAGATGTTTGAAGGACTGTCATGTGAAAGTAGGATTAGACTTTTTCTATATTACTTAAAGGGGAAGAACTAGACACAGTGGGTTGGCGTATAGATAGAGGCAGATTTCCGCTCAGTGTAAATGCAAACTTCCAAATGATTAGAATTATCCTAAAATGGAATGGATTGTCTTGGGGAGTACTAGGCTCTCTATCATTGGAGGTTCTGCAGTACTTGTTCAAAATGTTGTTGTAGAGATTTCTATTTGAATATGGGTAGCACGAGATGTCCTCTGTGGTCTCTTCAAAATCTATGACTTATGATTCTTATGAATACAATGTGATCATTTTGAATATCAGTTCCAATTCTGTGCTATAATGCCTTGATCGGCTCAAGGTCTCTCCAGATATATAGGGATATTTATTCTGTCTGATGGACTAGAGGGCTGCTATTTCAGGTTTTGGTCTTTCTCCTCTCCATCATCTGTTGTCAGAGTGCCTACTTTAACATTCCCTTGTAACCCTTTTAGACTTCTGGGAAATCAGATCACCCTACTTGCTAGCATTGTAGCCACACCAATAGTAAATAAACTTGAGGGGCTCTCTCCGTTGACTAAAGCATTTAAGCTTTTATGCATGGCCTTTGTGACATCTCTTTGGTTGCTCAGGTTGACTTTGCTAACCCTTTCCCTGTTTTTTTTTTTCCCCACTGGTTTCCTGGTTATTATCTGAGCTGGATAACTGAGGTGATGGGTAAAGGATTTCCAAGTAGTTGAGCTATAGGTCTGTTTAGTTTACAAGGAGTATCTTTGTTGATTGACTAACACAAAGAGTTTAGGTTTAAGTATATTCTGATATTCTGGATCTTGCCTCTGATACCTCCTGTCTGACCACGGGCAAGTGCTGTAGAGATTATAAATTTCAGTGAAGGTGCCAGGCTGCATCGGTGAAGGCAGTTTCCTCATCTGGGAATTCCCTACACAGGTCTATTCCCTACCTCCCAACCTTAAATTCTGTTGACAATAGGGGGGAGTAAAGTTGGCTTGGAGAGAGGCTGGGAAAATGATAAATTTAGGTAAGGTCAATGAAAATATTAGGGAATAAGATAACATACTTATGGAGCGCTTTGCCAAAAAAAAAAAATTATCTGGAAGGCTGACGGTCACCAAATAGTAAATAAAATAGCAGGCTATGGAATATAAAATGTTGCATGATGTGGTGGAAAAAGCATGTGATTCTTAGAAGTATCAAGTTTGAATACCTGCTTGACTCTACCTGAGAAACCTAGAGCAATTCAATTCAATTTAACAAATATTTATTAAGTTTCTAATATGTGCAAGGACTGTATGAAGTGAAGAGGATTTTTTAAAATGGAAAAGTGAGAGAAACAAATTAGAGGAACGGTGAAAACATAAACAATGGGTTCAATCACAAAAGGCCTCCTATGCCAACTGGTATCTGAGCTTCAGTGGTCACTTTAACTCTTGGGTCTTCTTTTCTTCCCCTGTAAAATGAAGGAGGCTGGACTGCCCAAGAGCCTTCTCTAATTCCATGAATCTTGCAGCTGGATTCCAAGACTTCTAATTTAGGAACAGGGCTCAGCCAGGGAATCATAACAGCCCTGACTATGCTTGAAGGCTGGATTGTAGTTGAGTTCAGTCTTAGTGAGCAACCTGAGTATTTCTGACTTCCCTTCATGGGGCCAGTAGGATAAATTGTTTATCTGCACGCTCCTCAGAGAGAGGTCATGGAATGAGACAGCTGTCCCCCTGTTCCTCCCCCAGATTTGATATTACTCCCCAGGCAGGTGAGTGATTGAAATCGTGCATCAGGCAATTTAATGTTCATCTGCTACAAAGTTCTTAAAGGCAGAGGATAATTGTGAGAGCCCTGGAAAGGCAAGGGACAGAGTGTGCAGCAGACATATAGACGATCTGAAGGAAGAGTTTGCCACCTGCCACTGGAATATATATTCATTAGGTTTTCAGTTGGATTTTTCACACAAACTAAGTTGAATTTGAGTTGAGATGGGATTTCATGGAATCGGAGTATTTTCATAGGTTCATAGAATCATAAGATTCAGAAGGGGAAGGTCCCTTGACAATCAGCATCTGTCACATAGATGAAGAAACCAAAGCCAGGGAAGGTCCTTCAAGTCCAATCCCCTGACTTTTAGAGAGAAGGAATCTGAAGGCTCTCAGAAGGTTAGGTGACTTGCCCACAGACATACAAATAGTTTAGGGCAGAACTGGTCTTGGAACCAGATCTTGGCAAGATTTTTTTTTCCTCCCTGACTCTCTGAATCTTTGTGTTTTTTATATCCCCCCAATGCCCATCTCTCTTTCCTACCTTTTTTTCTTTTTCTCATCCTCTTCTCTGCATATCTCTACGTTCTCTGTCTCCTCTTTCCATTTCTTCCTCCTCACATGAGGAAACTGAGTCCCAAGGAGGTTGTTATTTCTCCATGATCACTCAGCTAGGATTCAGTTCCAGGCTGCTGGACTCTACATGCTGCCACTACCAAAATTGTAGAGAAAACAATAAGCCTGAGAAAGCATGGTTTAATTCAAACTGTTTCCCTTGATATGATTGATCCAGGCATTACTGACAAGGTTTGCTCTAATTCTAACCATTTTTTTACTCTTGGAAATAAAATTAAAAGCTTTTCCTTTTAGAATAATCCTTATATTTTTGGAATACTATGCAGAAGGGCAATATTTCAGGGATTTACAGTTCTCATCATCTGCCTTATCTCGTGTGTCTTATAGACATCCAGCTCTCCAACACAGAGGAAGATATTTTTGCTTGCTCTTTTTATTTTTATAATGAGCCCTTAGCACATTGGAATGGATGCCTAATTTTGTCTCACCCTGTGTTGCAAGGTTTTCTGCTTTTGTTTTTATTTTTTCTCTTCCAAAAATCACAGGCGTGCTTACTTCAAAGTGAATTCATATCTATACAGAGCCAGTAAAATAACTTAAGAAGGGAAACTAATTATTTGATGTCATACAGTAGCACACACATAGACCCCCCCCCCCAAGTTGTTTGGCTTAATGTGATTTGTTAAAAACAAAAACCAGAGTTGGATTTGCTCCATCTGGTATAATGAAAATAGCACTAGACTTAGAATTAATAGGATTCAGAATAGGAGGGGGACTTTAGGAATCACTGATTACCAGCTCACTCTCATTTTAGAGATGAAGAAATTAAGGCACAGAAGTGGTCACTTACCTGAGATTACACATGAAATAAATAACAGACCTATGATTTGAACTCATATCCTATCTTTAAATACAGGTAACTTTTTTCCATATTAGTCAAAAGACCTGAATTCAAGACCCAGCTTAATTGGTCTGTACAAGTTCTCTCACCTTGGGAAAGTCACTTAGCATTTCTAAGCTTCAGTTTCCCCACTCATGAAATGATAACAGTAACAGGTGACCTGTGTACATCATGGTTATTGTGAGAATTTGGTGACAATAAGACAGGTAAAACTGCATTATGTACTTTGTATAATTAAACAAATAAAGGTTTATGACCATCATTTTTATTTACAGAATAAGCAACACTTTAAAGGTGGCATTAGTACAGTAGAAAGACTTGGTCCAAATTCTGGTACTGCCATATACTACATTATAATCTTGGTCAAGTCATTATATATTTAAGGTCCTCAGTTTCCTCATCTGGAAGATGAGGTGGTTGGATCAGATCAGGAGTTCTTGACTTTTTTTGTATCATGGACCCCTTTGACAATCTTGTGAAGTATATGACTCATTAGAATAGTGTTTTAAAATATGTGAACTTTTTTAAAAACTGGATTACAAAGGAAACTAATTATCTTGAAATACATCCATCAAAATATTTTTTAAAAAGTTCATGGACCTGTTAAAAATCTATCCATAGATCTAGACCCTCGATTCTTATCCTGAACTAGATGGACTCCGGTTCCTTACCTGTGATCCTAATAATGTCCAAAAAATGCATTCTCTGGTTTGAAAGAGTTGCACTACATAATACCCTATTACCATTTACAATTTTAGGTAGTGATATTATGTTTGTGTCTAGCTCTCTGTTTTTCTTCATGGTACCCCATCCCCCTACCAGTAACAATGGTTGGAAAGAAAGCTATGGGGTGTTAATCTTTCATACAGCACAGATTTTTCAGACTGTGCTCCATCACCTGGCTATAGCCTTCCCTGATGTCAGTGTCTCTTGCTGTTTGCAAAGCTGCCTTAGAATACATTGGCATGCTGTTTCTGCTTGGAAACACCCACCCTGGGAGTCTCTCGTTACTGCATTCCAGACTGGCCTGTCTATTACTTGGATTAACCCGTGGCTTGCATTCCTGTGACAACATTTATAGATGCCCACCAGCTGCTCCTCAGCCATCCGTACCTTCAAGAGGCAGTCTGAATGTTTTCCCATGTTATAACAAAGTACATACAGTCTCTGGTTTCTGATGCTTTTCTTTAGAGTTCAAGTTAACTTGTTAGTTTTCTTTTGGGACCCAAGATATAAGAGTCTCAAATGCTAAGGCAGCCTGCCAAGATTTACTCTCTCCACAACAGCATAGCGTCAATGAGCTCTGAGTATATTGGACTTCTCACCTTGCAGTGAGATTGTGTGATAGCTAAATGGCTGTGGAAAGGCTGTAGCTAGGCCAACAAGTAAAGTTATTCAGAATCCAGTGGGCTATGCAATGGGAAAAACCAACTATGCTGCATCTTTTCTGTGTTTTTGATATTTTCCATTTCTTTATTATGCAGCTAACAATTTAATGGAGAAAGGAGGTGGGGAAATAAGTGAACACATAATTATGATGCAAGGAAAAATGAGACATCCAGGCCAAGTTCTATGAACCATCTGAAGAGGGAAAGCTTACTTTCTCCTGAAGGGGGGAAGGGTCAGAGAAGCAAGGGGCATGAAGCAAGTGACATTTGAAGAGTCCATTCCAGGCATAGAGGAAAACATGAGTAAATGCAGACTCTGAAGAAGCCAAATTGAAAACAGAGAATGGAAAGGTCACACTAGAGGCTGGAACATCAGATCATGAGAAGCTTGGAGAAACAGGTCACCCTTTTACTTCTTTCTCCCTTAGGTCAATTTTCAACAGCTACTAGACTCAATTTTTCCTTCAACTACCAGTGCCCTATTTTCTTCTGTTCTCTGTTCTGACTTCCCAACCTTTGCTGCTCAACATATCAGCCTCATGTTGTGTGATAATGTCTCACCAACTGGATCTTCTTTGTTAGTTTCTTCCTTTCAGTCTTGTTCATCAGATTCCCTGAATGACAGCAAACTTTTCTGTTGATATTGCCTTCCATTCTGTAAAAGAATTTCATAGGTTTCCTAAAGTCCATTCCCTTACTCAAGTCCATCCAGGGAGGAAACAGAGCTGAGGAAGAATTGTTGTGTTGAGAAGGCACCACTGACCTCTTGTAATGTGTTGGAAGATGGAGGATATTAATGGAATAAGTAATACGATAGATTGGAGTTTTCTTGTTTATACCTTAACCTTGATGAGGGAATGAGAAACTCTTTATTGTATGCCTTAATAATGTGATTTGGGGATCCAAGGTAAGCATAATATTAAAGGAAGATGAAAGATTTTCTTCTTCTGAAGGAAAAAAAAACAATTTAGAGATTTAATCTTCACATCATGAGGTGAGCACTATGGAAGCTAATAGCAGTAGATAGTCGGCATGCATTATGACAGGTCAAAATAGTAATTGCACAAAATGCAGTTGGATGAGCAGAATTCTTTTTATTTGTGTTGGAATGAAATTGTTCCATGCTAGTATAGAAATAACAAAGGAAATGAATGCTTAACAACATTACTATAAATGGGGGATGGGGGGGAGAGGATAGAACATTTCTATTTATAACTTGCAGAATCCCATATAAAAATAACTCCAAATCACCAATTGGTTCCTAACTGGAGTGCAAAGGCATCACCGCTGCTGCTGCAGCTGCTGGATTTTGAGGAATCCTCATAATAAGAAGAAACAGTGGATTGGTAAAAACTCAAAGTTCCTTGCTTCTTTTCCCTAGTTCTCAAAGAGAAGGAAGAAGAAATTAAAAGTTCCTGGAGGCTGGGCATTTTGTAGAACTCCATCCCACAGGTTGTTCTTCTATTTGTTTCTAATGAAAAAGAAACATTCCTGCCATCTCAAATTGAGCTTAATAGTATAGTCAATAAGTGTGTCTGTGATCTATGGATCCATTTGTCAGGATAATAGATCAAGTCAGTCAGGTTCCAAAGTGATGTTTCTTACTGCTCCCAAAGACGAATTTTATGATTGTGGCTCAAGAAGAAAGTCTTAAAATTAATAATGTTTCTCTCTCTCCCTCTCTCTCTCTGTCTCTCTCTCTGTCTCTCTCTCTGTCTCTCTCTCTGTCTGTCTGTCTGTCTGTCTGTCTCTCTCTCTCTCTCTCTCTCTCTCTCTCTCTCTCTCTCTCTCTCTCTCTCTCTCTCTTCTAGCGGAGCTTCTTGGGCTGTGCTAGTTTTAAAGTAGGGGACCTGCTGAAATCGAAGGAGCAGCTGCTAACCCTTAGCCTAAGGTAGGTCTCTTTGTCTCTAATAAACCCTTTAAAATGTTTCACCTACCATGATATTCTTTGCCTACTACTCCATTGTGTGTGGAGCTTACAGGATTCATGCCAGTGGATTAAATGCTACTTTTAAGTAGCTGCTTTCTTCCCTTAAAACCCAGCTAAGTTGACATGGCAGTTATTTAAGTCCATGGGTCAAATTAGGGAAAGCTGCCAGCTCTTGCATATAAGCTCCTATGCTATTAGGAGGGTTAAGAGTTCTTTTAGGCTATTTTTAGATGAATAGAAATGTTTCTATATTTTTTGCCTAGTTTTTATTTTTTCTTTTTTATTGACAGGATACTAAATTCTAAAACTAGAAAGTTTCTAGGTTTTTGGATGTTTAACACATTTGAATATGCCTGTTTCAAGGCGGCACTGTGAATGTGTTAACCATATACCTTTGGCTAGAACGGTTTCACTGGAATTCAACAAAGCTTTATTCTTCATTTCCGAGTTTATCATCATGAAACCATTCAGCGCATTAGCTGAGCCATGATGGAACCCATTATGGGATGGCTGATCAATGACAGCTTACTTTGAGTACTAGGGTCAAGACAATTCCTAAGTTGCTGTTCAGGTGGGTAGCTTTATTAGTATTAAGCATAGTGAAGCAAGCCATGGAATACAATAACCACTTCTTTTGACCCCAGGCACAAACTGAGTACGTTGTCAAATGATTCTTCGCCTGCAGAATAACTTTGTCCTCAAGCTGTATGTGTAGCGAAGGGAACTGCCATGTATGGATATGTATTTATGGAACATGGCAATTAATATATCAAATGGGAAGAGAGTGAAAAGCCTCTTATTGTGAAGCCTTTGCAGGGACAATATGTAGGCAAGAAAAATGGCCTCCCTCTTCCCTTCCCTTCTCAAAAAACATTTGAAACTAAGCATTTATCACAAACTACTGAAGTTTATGCTGGAATCCAAACTTCTAGATTTCCTTCCCCCTTAATTTTCTTTGAACCCTGTAGCTAAGGTGCTTCTGTGCTTTTTTTATTTTTTAAAGTCAGTTAAGTGTGATTTATGAATAATCCAAAACAGTGAGCATGAGGGAGAAAAAAAGAGTTGGGGCATTTTCATCTACTCTTTATATCCTTAGGGATGTTGTTCCTGCCTTCTCTCCTATTACCACCTCTATCTACCTTCTCTCTCTCTCTCTCTCTCCATAGATATCTATATCTATATATCTATATATTTATATATAGATATATAGATATGTATATATATACATATATATGTATATATATAATATACACACATGTGTGTGTAAAGATATATGTATATACACATGCATATATACCCAAAAATCACATCTATATTCGATTTTCTGAACATTTCATCAGTTTCCATTCTCTTGGCATCTTCCTTCCTTTGACCAAACAGCGTCATCTCTTTGTGTCTTGAAGTTGGCACTGCTTCAAGCAGAGCTTTCATCTCTGCCATTTTCCAACCATCATTCTATTGATTGTCATTTAAACTTGCTCATGTGGTTCACTGAGTCCTGAGGTGATAGAATAAAAAATACAGTGGTTCCACTGCCATCAACAATGAGAAGAGATCACTCTAGAAATCCTGGTTGATGTGTACCTTTTAATAGCCATTCATTATGTTAGAATTCTTTACTTCATTCTCTGTTATTATTCATTTGGTTTAGTCATGTACAACTCTTTGTGATCCTATTTGGGGTTTTCTTGGCAGAAATACTGGAGTGGTTTTCCATTTCCTTCTCCAGCTCATTTTACAGATGAGGAAACTGAGACAAGCAGAGTTAAGTGCCTTGCTCAGGGTCACACAGCTAGTAAGTGTCTGAGTCTGGATTTGAACCCCCAAAGATGAGTCTTCCTGACAACAGGCTCGGAGTTTATCTACTGCATCACATAGCTGTACCAGAATTTAACTAATCATAGCTAATGTTTATATAACACTTTATGGTTGGCAAACACTTAACATTTGTTATCTCATTTGGGTCTCACAACAGCCTTTGGTAGATGCTGCTACTATACCCTTGAAGAAACTGAGGCTGAGGAACATTGACTTCCCAGGGCTACACAATTAAATATCAGGGGTAAGATTTGAACTCAGGTTTTCCCGACTCTCGGGTCTGGCACTCTATCTACTATGTCACAAGGCAGCCTCTTTTTCACTTTATTTTTAGCATATAAACCAGATAATCTGTTGTTTTCCTCAAAGTTCAAATCAAATACTACCTCCACTTGAGGCTTTTCTTGATCCTCCCAGTTATTAACATCTCCCATGTTTACTTTGTATGTGTTTCTGTGTATAAATGAAGTCCCTCCAATAGAAAGTAAGCACCCCGAGGCAGGAACTGCTTCATTTTTATCTAAAACAGAGCCTAGCACTGTGCCTCAGGCATTGTAGGCACTTGATAAGTATTCGCTGATCAGTTGCTAAGCTGCAGTTGTTAGCTTTATGGTTACCTTTTATTTTCATTGTAAGGTGACCCAGAATCTTGCAGAATGACCCTTCTTTTTGCCTTGGCCACAAAATGAAATCATTTCTGCTACCTCCTTTAGCCCCATCTCTGAGGAGTACCTTTGAAACATCTCAGGTACAACATTCTTTACATCTCTGGTTTCATAAGGAGTGAAAATGTCAGTGCTAATGATATTTGCTTCATTTGGTAGCATTTCAACTTGGTGGTTGTTGGACATAGATCTCACATTTAGAATACTAGTAGTGAAATTAAGATGATCTTTAAAAAGCCAAAACCAAAACAAAACTCTTGCTTTTTCTGTTCCATGATCTCCACTATCACAGCAGAAATGCAAAGGGGCCACACAGGACCAATGGCCATTTGGTATTTTTCCTTACTTCATGAGTCACCATGGCTGAAGAATTAATCCACTGGTGATCAATCTGAGCCTCTCTATATTTATCAAAACTAGGGGCAGTCAGTCACTGGCACCATATTCTTAGCATTTTTAGCTTTCCATCTAACTATCTATGCCTCACCTACATGCAATATTAACATATCAATATGGTACGATTTATTAGGAATTCTTCAATCATTAGACATATAAGTTCTTTGTAGTTTTTTGGGGGGGGCAGGGATGGTATTATAAAGGGAGCTCCTATGGACATTTTTGTAAAGATAGAGGTAATTTTCTTCCTTTTAAATAACATCTCTACAGGGCAGGTAGGTGGTACAGTGGATAGAGTACCGGCCCTGAAGTCAGAAGGAACTGAGTTCAAATCTGGCCTCAGACACATAACACTTACTAGCTGTGTGACCCTGGGCAAGTCACTTAACCCCATTGCCTAGCCTAAATAAATAAATAAATAACATCTCTAGAGTATACATTGAACAATTAAACCATCTTGTATATTTCCATTTTAAAGAACATAGTTAGAATAAACTTGGGGGCCTTTAAGTTCATTCCCCTCATTTGATAGATGAGGACACAGAAGAATAAAATGACTTATCCTAGGTCTCATAGGTAGTAACACCAGAGGCAGTATTTGAGTATAGGTCCTCTGACTAAACAAGAGCTAGAGACCTTTCTCCAACATATTCCCCTGAATGTCGCCTCTTACACATTTTCTGGAAGATTTGAAGAGGATTTGTTATTGGTGCTGCTATTGTTTTTCCTTAGCTAACCTGTGGCTGTTAATTTTGATTACCAAGCACTTACTCTGAAGAAGCTAGCTGCAGATGTCTGTGTATCCATAATAATTCCTCCAGCAGCAATAGCCTGTGTTTCATATGGGGCTTTAAGGTTTACAAAGCACTTTAATATAAATATTTCCTCATTTGATCCTCACTACTACTTTCTTGTGAGACAAAATCAGGAACAGCCTAGCTCTTCCACCAGAGTGAAGGGGGAAATTCTCTTCGAGACGTGAAAGATGATTCTTCTTTTCTGTCTCTAGTACTTGCAGACAGAAATATAGGATCCAAATTTAATGGCAACTTAGAAGTCATCTAAATAAGTAATTCTTCACCTGTTTTATGTCATGAACTCCTGGGTCCATCTGATGAAACTTATTGATCACATCTTAGAATGGTTTTAATTGCTTAGCATAAAATATGTAAGATTATAAAGGAAACCAGTTACGCTGAAATAGTCATCAAAAGCTTTAAAAAAAATTCGAGGACACCAGCTCAAGAGCCCTAATCTAGGCATAGAATCTCCCTTATGACAACTCCCATAAGTTTTTCCTTTAGTCCAGGGGTGGGGAACCTGAGGCCTTGAGGCCACATGTGAACTTTGAGGTCCTTGGGTGCAGCTTTTTGACTGAGTCCAAGTTTTACAGAAAAATTCTTTTATGAAGGGCATCTGTTCTGTGAAGTTTGGATTCAATCAAAGAGCTGTACTTGAGGACCTAGAGGGCCACATATGGCCTCAAGGCCACAGGTTCCTCACACCCTGGTAGCCTTTCCTTCAATACCTGAAGTGACTGCGAAGCCATGTGCTTTAAAAACTATTCTTCATAATACACCTATCATTTTTCTAAAGGCCAATTATTTTTGCTTGGTGTTTAATGAAAGTAGTTCTCTTTTAATTACATTATTTAGCTTTAGTGTATTCAAATTGATATCATTCCCCTTTGGTTAAGATTGGTGAAGATTTGTAGCTCTGTCTACTATTCATAGAAACATTGTTAAGACCAATTAAAAAACGCTATAGGATAAAAAGATTTAGAACTAAAGGGGACCTCAGAGATCATTTAGTGAGAGAGGTTAGGAGACTTGACCAGGATTGCACAGATAGTAAGTGGTATAGCCAGGATTAAATCTCAGGTTCTCTGACCCCAAATCCAACTATCTTTTCATTTTACCACAGAACTAGAGTAAGTATAAGGCGTTATTCCAAGGGAAAAACAAAACACTACCATGAGACTTTCAAGTGTTTATGTCAAATCAAGTCAAGTCAAGTCAATAAGCATTTACTTGCAGGATACTGACTGTGCTAAGCTCTGGAAAAGAAAGATAGCTCCTGCCC